TCAAAGACTAGCGGTCCTGTTGCTCTATTTTCACCTGTAAAGCAGGAGTGGGGTAAGCGGAGGTTTACCCTGGTGCAGGTGTGCCGCAGCGATCAGTTGAAGAATCCACGAGTTTCTCTGTGAATTTCCCATTACGTCGTTGCGCACTCGGTGCTTGTTTAGGGGTTTTTTCGCTGTAAAAAGAAGTTTTCTCCCCACGCACAACGGACACTAATGTTTTTGTCACTTTTTATGGAATCAAACTCAAAGTAAGGTCAGTACTTCCAAGCTTTAAACGCTGCATGCTCATACTCTCTCCCGCACTCGATATATTATCCATTGTTGATCTGCACACAGCTGTTGTCATGAACGTCGCACTTGCTTACATCACTGTCATGAGACATTCTCGCAAACAAATCACGGTTTTAGTAACGCAGTAACGCAGCGTTCCTACGGGAAAGTAACGGTAGTCTATTACCGTTTTGCAATAGTAATCCCTTACTTTACTCGTTACTTGAAAAAAGTAATCAGATTAACGTGTTACTGCCCATCTCTGCTCACCAATAAGTGAATGAGGTACTGAAGATACAAAAACAAAGTAAATGAAAAGCATCTGGGAATATGATAAACAGAAAGCCAATATAGAGCAATTCCTTATTAAAACTAAAAGAGACAAGAGCACTTAGAGTGTCAAACAACCCCAGATGGCAAGGTTTATAGATTTTCACATTTAGTGTGACCTTGACCTGACTTTCAACAAACCCAAATCAGCTCAAGCTGTTTTTGCTCTCTACAATCACACACAATGACCCAATTACCACGAGTATGTTTTTGCAAATTACATTATATTAAAACGATGCACAGAAATAACACGGGCAGAAAGTAATCAGGTGAAAACATTTATTTGGTCATTTTTTCCTTTTTTTTTTAATTTTTTTTAATGAAAAGTTTCATTCCACCTCCCCGAAACCAATAGTTCATTCTGAATTCTGTTTGCATGGACCGTTATTATTCTACCGCAACCAATCAGAATAGAAAGCTCGGTGTTTCTGGAAATAGATGTTGCTGGGGAGTTTTTTCCACCTTAAACTAAGCATTATCCACCTCTGTTGTGTTGTAATGGAGGCAAAAGCTTAGCTGACGAAACTGAAAATATCTGCAGTGCACGGCTGCAGGTCATTTGAGGTTAAGTGTTAAAAAACAAATAAATGAGGTTGAATTTAGTCTCTGGAGTGTGAGCATATCACTTTGCCTTTACCTCATAGTGACAGTTGTAAATGTAATATGGCAAGGTAAATAAAAAATATGTATGAATTAGGCCAAAGAACAATGCTATTTATGCTGCTGGATATTTTACCAGGTGCTGTTTCCTGTTCAAACACATTACAAATGATCAGACCACAGCAGTCCCACAGGATCACATGACACCAGCTGCATGGGTGTACTGTGATTCTTCTTTGGTGTCGTATATATTTAAATTGTCAGTAAGCCTTAACAACAGTGTTTTTGCACAGCTTTGAGTGTTTTGTGAGTCATTTAGGTTTCATTGACTGTAAAAATGTTTGTATCTAGGGTGAACCAGGCCAGTCGGGGCCGCCAGGAGAAAGAGGGCCTAGAGGAGAACGTGGACCTGATGTAAGCTACAGCCACACAGATAATGAGCTGACCATGCATGCAAGTTTGAGATCCAGGTGCATTGTTCTCTCTGTGGTGTGTGTGTGTGTGTGTGTGTGTGTAGGGGGATCCAGGACCAGCAGGCGATTCTGGGCTCACTGTGAGTAAAATTTTAAAAAGACTGATGTATTTTAATGCAAGAATTCCTTTACTCACTTCAGTGTATTACTTTAATCTGCACACATGTCACTGCAGGAATGTGATGTCATGAGCTACATCAGAGAGACGTGTGGTTGCTGCGGTAAGAAAGTATAAGCACTCAAACACAGCTTCATAAATGTGGTGTTTAAACGCGCTGATGGTCTTCTTGTTGTTTGTCTCTCAGACTGCGAGAAGCACTGTGGAGCTATGGACATCGTGTTTGTAATTGATAGCTCAGAGAGTGTCGGGCTGACAAACTTTACCCTGGAGAAGAACTTTGTTATCAACACCATCAACAGGCTGGGATCTATGGCGCCCGAACCTACATCAACAACAGGTAACGT